AAGTCACAGTGAGAGTCCAGCAACTTCTTTCTCAACTACTGCCTAGGGACTTCTACTCAGAACATGGTGATCTTCAATTGAGAACTCCAATAGGATTTGGATGGCTTCTTCTAAGAGGGCTGGGCCAGAAAAAGGGACAGTGGCTCATTTATGTATCTAGGAATCTGGGGATCAGCTTAGCTACTTTTGAACAAAAGAAGAATATATGCCCTATGAACTCATGTGTTTTTGAAGGGGGGTTTATAGTGAGGGATAGAAGGTAGCATTTTCCACTGCAGTTCACTTTGAAAAAAATGCCAGTCTTATTTCAGCTCAATGAGGAGACAAAGAACAGACTCAAATACAGTGTGAGGGAAAAAAAGCCCCTAGTGGTCTGATGTGGCAGCAGCAGTGGCCAGCCTGACTAAGAGACGGAGAAGAAGCCAGTCCAAGCCTGGGATACAGATAGGAAAAGTGGAAAGGAAAGAGGTCAGCTAGAATTGCTGATTCCTACACCCTACGTCCCACCCTGAGCTTGTCACTTTTGTCAGAAGCTTTACTATGCTCATATGTGCTCTTTAGAAGGAAAAAAATGAGGTTATTTGCAATGCTTAGTTAAGAAAAGCTTTTCAATGAAGAGACCACAATTATTTCTTTAATATCCTGCCAATCAAGATATCACACTAACTGATGCGTGAGTCCTTTTATATCATAATAGAAAACTGTCTGGTCACCTTCTGGTTCTATGATGTACACGGCAAAACTTATGTAACCAACGTAACCATGGGTAGAGAATTAAACTCACCAGTGAGATGCATGTCCTATATGTCCTATAAAGCCTGTTAAAAGGAAATATATCTCACATATAAAAAAGGTAACATCTAGTCTTAAAAGGTATATAAGCCCCACCTTAGGACACCACGTACAATTACAGAAAAACAAGGGGAATGAGCATGGAAAAACATGAGAAATCCAGAGAAAGGGGGTAGAAAGAGTCCATATCCAAATATAATGCTATGAATGTGAAGAATTCTTACCAAGTTAGAGGGGAATAGGATGTAAAAACAGAGAATGAAAGTAGAGTAAGAATTTGAACATTACTATGAGAAAGTGAGATGTATTTTATAAAGCAGGTATTTCTTTTTTTTTTTTTTTTAAGATTTTATTTATTTATTTCACAGACAGAGATCACAAGTAGGCAGAGAGGCAGACAGAGAGAGAGGAGGAAGCAGGCTCCCTGCTGAGCAGAGAGCCCAATGTGGGGCTTGATCCCAGGACCCTGGGATCATGACCTGAGCCGAAGGCAGAGGCTTTAACCCACTGAGCCACCCAGGAGCCCCTAAAGCAGTTATTTCTGACATCAATTTCTTTATGTGTTAGTTGTGTGGTTCCCACTGTTAAAATAAACAGAGTTGAATATAAGGGAAATAAGGATAGTTCAATGATGTTTCAGGAAACAGAAGAATGGAAGTGTAGCAGGGAAGCCATAAGTACTGTTGTAAAGAACGAAGTGAATTATAGCTAATATGAGACTCTAAGGCAGGAAAAATGGGATTTGGCCAAAAGCAGGGACTGAGGATCAGGTGACACAGATTGGCCTCTGAAATGCCACAGCAGCCGGCTCTTCACATTAGCTATCGATGACCTGGGGTGAGCTGGGAGGGGATCTACCCTGAAAACAAAATAATGAAAGAAAAGGGGAACAAGGAAAAGAGAACGATGAATCCCTGAACAGAAACACTGAATCCTAATTATGTGAGAAAGGAGCAAGTCAACTAATTAATAGGGTGTATGTGAAAAGAAGAGGGCCCAAGAGATGGCAGAAAGACAACACAATTAACTGCACCACATTCTTAAGAAAATGATATGTCAATGATAGTGGAAACTGGGTATGTTTGGTTGCCGAGAAACAATTTGGAATATGCAAAGTAACAAGTGTACAACTTACTGCAGAGCTCAAATAGGACACTATATATGAACCATCTGAAATGGTCAAATCTATGCATCTCTCAGGTAGTATGTTTACTGAGGACAATGGCCAGGTCCCCGTACCTGTCTGTAATTCACAGTTAATAGCTTTTAAGCCAAGCAGTCTTAACGATCACTCAGGAAATCCTGGCAAATGTTGCTAATAGTAATATGGCAAACAGAACTGCTTGGAATTATAAGCATTTTAGAGTTACCTGTTACCCCCTCTGCCAGAAGGAGAAAAGGAAAAGAGTGATCATTAAGGCAGAAGAGAGGAGAAAAAAATCAGAGGCCATAAATAATCTAACAGTGGAGCATTAGCACCTGGACAATTAATATCTAATTATTTAGGCAAAGCGATTACACAGCCTGTAGTTGACAATACTGTCTTCATGTACCTAACATTTAATTCCTGAAACTACATTATTACCTGTTTAAGACTCCTATCAGATGAGCTCCTATCAGAAAAATAATTTAGATCACTTGAGACTATTGGAAAGTTAATGAGTTGCTACTTAAAATAAAAAGGAAATAATGTAAATACATAAGTAAGGGAGGAAGAAATACTGGTTAAAAATGATGATTTGTAGAAAGAACTTTGAAATGGAGAGCTTACATGGTATTGTAAGTAAAGTAACTTTCCCTTACTCCATAAACAAACAAGAGTGAGAACAAAGGGCAATTCGCCTCATTAGGATACATGCCTAGAAGACACAAACAGACATTTTTTTCAAAGAAGATATACAAATGTCCAACAGCACACGAGAAAATGCTCCATATCATTCAGCATCAGGGAAACACAAATCAAAACCACTATGAGATACCACCTCACAACAGTAAGAATGGCTAAAATTAATAAGTCAGGAATGACAGATGTTGGCAAGGATGTGGAGAAAGGGGAACCCTCTTACACTGTTGCTGGGAATGCAAACGGGTGCAGTCACTCTGGAAAACAGTATGGTGATTCCTCATAAAGTTGAAAATAGGGCTACCCTACGACCCAGCAATTGTATTACTGGGTATTTATCCAAAGGATACAAAAATAGTGATTCGAAGTGGCAAATACATCTCTGTGTTTATAGCAGCAATGTCCACAATAGCCAAACTATGGAAAGAGACCAGATGTCTATCAACAGATGAATGGAAAAAGAAGATATGACATATATATACATATATATGAATATTACTCAGCCACCAAAAAAAAAAAAAAAAAAGAAAAAAAGAAAAGAAACCTTGCCATGGGCAACAATATGGATGGAACTAGAGGGTATTATGCTAAGCAAAGTATGTCAGAGAAGACAAATACCACATGATTTCACTCATATGTGGAATTAAAGAAACAAAACAGATGAACATAGGGGAAGGGAAGGAAAAATAAAATAAAACAAAAACCAGAGAGGGAGGAAACCATAAGAGACTACAGGGCTATAGACTGTAGGACTGTAGGACTATATAGACCTATAGACTATAGGATTGCTGGAGGGGCAGTGGGTGGGGATATGGGATAATTCGGTGATGGGCATTAAGGAGGGCATTTAATGTAACGAGCAGTCCCCTTATATGCAGCTGATGAATCACTAAATTCTACCTTTGAAACTTATAATATGCTATACATTAACTAAATTGAATTTAAATAAAAAACATTTTTAAAAGGATTTATGTGTCTTTTTAAAAAAACTTTATTCCTTAAAGAAATGAGCTCACTTTTTAAAAAGTATGTGATTAAATGAACAAAGGAAAAAGGGACAAACCAAAAAACAGAGTCTTAACTGTAGCGAACAGATGAACAGATGGTTAACAGAGAAGGGATGGGTGAAAGAGGTGAAGGGGATTAAGAACACACTCATCAGGATGAGCACTGAGTAATGTACAGAATTGTTGAATCACTATATTATTGTATACTTGAAACTAATATAATACTGTATGTTAACTATACTACACTGGAATCAAAATAAAATTTTTTAAAAGTACACTACTATTTTCACATTCTTCTTGCATATAAAGTTTAGATATCTTACAGAAGTGAGAGAAGTTTAAAAAACGCCTTTGCTTCAGCAAATTTCATATGAATGTAACAAAAATAATAGCTTAATCAGCTTTGGTTAAAAACTGATTACCCACATGCATTCTTCTGTTTGTATATCATATGCCAATAAAAAGTTAAAAGAAAAACCTCACTGAAATTCAAATGAAACTGTCAAAATAAATCCTGAAAAACAAAATGTTTTGACAGAGGTTTTGGGAGAATAGAAGACAAAGAAAACATTAGAATAATGCTAATGGATAAGCACATTTCATGAGCCCCGCAGATTCTAATACTGCTGGTGTCTGGGACAGAAAAACTGAAAAATGAATCCTCCTGGTGACTAAAGGTACTCTACCTCAAGGTGACATTAACAAGAAATAAATGACTTTTAAAAAGCAAAAAACATACAGGAAAACAATCTCCTTCTCCATACTGGGAAATGAAGCTTGGTTGTCGATTCACACTGACCGTACTGCTGGCTTTCTCCCAGTATCCTTGGGCCTGCTGGGGGTACGTACCACCCCACGTCCCCTGCAGAGCACTTCCCTTCCAGAACCACTAGAGTCAGTACGTTTGAGAATTCCATTAATCCTGGTGGGTGGGGTGGAAACAAGTTTGTTTCTCCTGGTCCTATAAAGAGGACTGCTCCGGACTGAATTAATACCCCCTACTCCCCCAACAGTTCCACTATAAGGATGCAGATGTCCAGTTTAGTATGCTAAAATAAACAAGATACCCCAAAAATATAACTGAAGTGCAGATCACATCCATATTGTCCAAATCTCTATGGGAACTAAGCCTGCAGGACGTTATCATTTAACCAGTCTTCTCTTTAACAACACTGCATATTTGGGGTACATTTCCCACCAGTAATCCAATTCTCATAGCGAATATGCATTTCATTTGGGCTACACTGATGACCTAGAGTTCCAATCTGTAGCCCTAACACACACATGAAACAGAAATGTTGACTAGCATTGACTAGCACTGCTGGTATTACTTTATTTTAGTCTATATAAACACTCACCTCTTTGACACTATGTGTTACTGCCCATATCAGAAAAACTCTTGACATCACCTGGAAGGAAGTCAGGACAACAGAAGATGGAACGATTCCTGAAAGAAATTTTAGGATGGGTAAACAAATATATATTGTATTAAGTTTCAACATGTAATACATTTTCTGAAACATTTAATTTTAATGTTAAGACATAAAACCATCTTGAGCAACTGAAACTTTATATAAAATGTCTTTCAGTACAGTCAATATTAAAACCTTTTTTCCTCCAGGGATGCCTGGGTGGCTCAGCCAGTTAAGCGTCTAGCTTTGGCTTAGTTATGATCCCAGGGTCCTGGGATCGAGTTCTGCATCAGGCTCCTTGCTCAGTGGGGAGCCTGCTTCTCTCTCTGCCTGCTGCTCCTCCTGCTTGTGCGCTCTCTCTCTCTCTGACAAATAAATAAATAAAATCTAAAAAAATAAAAGACAACCCAAAACCCCAACTTTCCCCCTCCAGAACACTAATATTGCCTCCCCCACCCCCAGAACAATATATTTTTTTAAGATTTTATTTATTTATTTGACAGAGAGAGAGATCACAAGTAGGCAGAGAGGCAGGCAGAGAGAGAGGAGGAAGCAGGCTCCACGCTGAGCAGAGAGCCTGACGAGGAACTCGATCCCAGGACCCTGAGATCATGACCTGAGCCGAAGACAGAGGCTTTAACCCGCTGAGCCACCCAGGTGCCCCCAGAACAATATTGTTAATGGCAACAGCATACCATGGAATCTAGGTACCCTTCTTAAGCCTTTCAAAATCACTGGCCAAGTGCAATATATTTTACATTTATCATATAGAGAAAACAAAACCATTGTTTAACCTCTAAAATTAGACACTGAAAGGTCATTTTATAATATGGGTTTCAAAAATGAACAAGCACCTATAGAAGGGAAATCAACTGTATTTGTATCTAATGAACATAAGCAACTCCTACATTTCATGTATTATCTATACTATATATCAAGGTATTATCTAATGGTTAAATTATCTTTTAAAATTCACTTGAATATGTTGCCAATAAGCATACGATAATCAAAGTTTATTGTCTTTATTAAACCATTCTCACCTTGTTCATTAAATAAGCACTGGTAGAATTATCCTTCCAATGTCCAGAAGTCATAACACTGGAATCATTAGTTTTTGGAAATCATTAAGTTCTGCTAACTTTAAATTTCTTTGGCTTCTCCTTTCAATTCCTACAATCACAACCCCTATGAAGACACGAGCCACCACCATTACAAAAAATTCTTGCCCCCTTTAGGTCATCTTAAACCCAGCAGTAAGCCATTATCTGTAAGTGTCATTTTCTTGTTGTAACTTTATACTTGTAGGAAATGCTCCTAAAGTAAAATCAGGAAGCAGAATTATGGGTACCCAAACCAGCAGGCTCCTTTACCCTCACTTCTCTGTGGTTTCTCTCTGGGCTTCCTGCTGGCAGCAATTACACTTACCAACTTCCTGGACACTTCAAGTTGCATGTGGGCCATTCCATACCTGCCAGGAGCCCTCATCGTGGTGGCAGATCTTCCTACCACTCTAATACTAACCTCATCTTCACTACATCCACTGGACTATCCCAGACCAATTTTCATTCCTCCAAGCCTTCTAAACCACACTCAGACTTCTGAACATTTATAAAACAGAGAAACAAACTGCCAAAAGACTGTGTACAAATCAGAGATAAAACTGTCTCTATGGGTATGGCTATGAAAGGAAATCACTTCATATCTCATTAAGAAAAAGAGATGCAAGATCCTGTTAGAATGTGTTTCTTGAAGAAGGCTTGGGCTTCAAAGAGGAACAGCTAAGCTCCCAAAAGCAAGTAACATGGACATGTCAAGCAATGCTTGGCATATAAAGATACTCAATAAATCTTCGTAGAATGAATGAAAGAAAAATAAATGCATGGACATGTAGCCCAATGGAATAGAGTTCGGTCTAGAAATAAATCCTTACATTTATAGTTACTTGATTTTCAACAAGGATGTCAAGACAATTCAATGGAAAAATAACTGTCTTTTCAATAAATGGTGCTGGGACAACTGGATAGTTGCATACAAAAGAATAGAGTTAGAACACTTCCTTATGTCAAATACAAAAAAAATTAAATCAAAATGGATCAAAAACCAAAATGTAATAGTTAAAACTATAAAACTCTTAGAAGAAAAGATAAATGGGGGGGGGGGCAGGAGTCCAAGATGGTGGAGGAGCAGGAGGCTTTGATTTCATCTGGTCCCAGGAATTCAGCAAGATAGCTATTAAATCATTTTGAACACCTGCGAATTCAACCGGAGATCTAAGAAAAGAAGAGCTGCAACTCTACAAATAGAAAAGCGACCACTTTCTGCAAGGTAGGAGGTGTGGAAAAGTGAATCCCAGGCGATACGTGGGAAGATTAACTGTGGGGGGAGGGGGGAGGGAAGGGAGTCTCCGTCAGCTGGCTACCAGCAAGTGATAGAGCAGCAGAACACAAAAATCGGAACTTTTAGAAGTCTGCTCCAGTGAGGGATGTTGCTCAGGTGGCTAAGTTGGGGTGGAACCCTAGCTGGGACAGTGTGGTCTCAGGACCCTCAAGGTCACAGGAAGACTGGGGGTGCCTGAGTGTGGCAGAGCTCCCAGGGATCAGGATAGGGAAGGTGGCTGCAGAGTGAGTCCACTTGTGGGCTCTCAGCTCAGGGCTGCCATAACCTTGATCTATGGCACAGTTAGGTGACTGCTCTCTGAGCAGATGCCCAACAAGCAGAACTAGCAAGACCCCACCTTCCTCACCCAGGAGGAAGGAGTCCGCAGGGTTTGGAGACTCCAAACAGGGCTGCGTGCCTGAGAGAGAAACACTCGGTCACAGGCCGGGATTGCGGATGAAGGCCAGGGGGACAGGAGTGACTGATTGCTTTATCTGAGGGTTCTCTGAGAGGTCGGGCCCAGAGCTCTGGCTCTGGGGCCAGAGACTGGAAGGTTGTCATTTTCATTCTCATCTTCGAAAGCTATACCAAAAGCCTTCAGGGAATAAAAGGCACATAGAGCAAAGTGGAGCAGATAACTTAGCCTGGCCCCCAGCAAGGATGGTGCAATTCCACCTGGGGAAAAGACACTTCAGAATCAATGCAATAGGCCCCTCCCCCAGAAGAGCAGCAAGAACATCCAGCCAAGACCAAGTTTCCAGATCAATGAGAACTGCAAAACTCCAGCCCTAGGGGAATATAGCATATAGAATGCATGGTTTATTTCCCCATGATTCTTAGTCTGTCAACTTTAATTTTTTTCCTTTCCTTTTTCAACCAATTTCTTACTTTATCAACTCTTTTTTTACATCTTTATTTTCATTTTTACAGTTATATTCTATCCCTTCGTTGTATTTGATCATCCACATATATATACACACACACTTTTTTTCTTTCTTTACAATTTTTGGGATGCAGTTTCTTCCAATAGACCAAAATACACCCAAAATCTTGTATATGACTCTGTTCTATGCACATAGATCTGATCATATTCTCTTTTTTGTTTTTTTCTTCCATTATTTTTGTTTTTTACATTCTATCCTTTCAATGTACTTAGTTTTATTTTTGTATATGTAAGTTTTTCTTTCTTCACAATTTTGAGATGTAGTTTCTTCTAACAAACTGACCAAAAGACACTCAGGAGATAGTGTATTGCTCTGCCCTGTTCACCTGTTTATTTATATCCCTTCCTTTTTTTTTTTGTTTTGTTTTTTTTTGTTTTGTTCTTGGGTTTTTTTTCCTCTTTTGCTTTTTCTTGTCTTTTAATTTTACATTACATTCTATCGTTTCACTGTAGTTAATTTTATTTTTGTACATGTAGAAGATTTTCTTCTTTACAATTTTGGGATCTAGCTTTCTAAAAAAGAGACCAAAATACACACAGAATCCAATGTATTGCTCTATTCTGCTCACATGTCTAATTATATTCTTTTTTTCCTCCTGGTTTTGGGTCTCTTCTGATTTGTTTAGTGTATATTTTTCTGGGGTTATTGTTGCCATTTTAGTATTCTGTTCTCTTGTTCATCTGTTCTTCTCTGGACAGAATGACAAGACAGAAAAATTCACCTCAAAAAAAAATAATAATTAGAGGCAGTACTGACTGCCAGGGACCTAATCAGTATGGACATTAAGTAATATGTCAGAACTAGAGTTCAGAATAATGATTATAAAGATATTAGCTAGGCTTGAAAAAAGCATAGAAGACAGAAAAAGAGCAAAAAGCATAGGAATCACTAGAGAATCCCTTTCTGGAGAAATAAAAGAACTAAAATCTAACCAAGTTGAAATCAAAAAGGCTATTAATGAGATGCAATAAAAAATGGAGGTTCTAACTGCTAGGATAAATGAGGCAGAAGTGAGAATTAGTGATATAGAAGGCCAAATGATAGAGAATAAAAAAGCTGAGAAAAAGAGAGATAAACCACTACCGGATCAAGAAGGGAGAATTCGAGAGATAAGTGATGCCATAAAGTGAAACAGTATTAGAATAACTGGGAACCCAGAAGAAGAGGAAAGAGAGACAGAGGCGGAAGGCATACTGGAGCAAATTATAGTGGAGAACTTCCTAATCTCGGCAAGGAGCAAGCATCAAAGTCCAGGAGGCAGAGAGAACGCCCCTCGAAATCAATAAAAACAGGTCAACACCCTGACAAATGATAGTGAAACTTACAAATCTCAGAGACAAAGAGAAAATCCTGAAAGCAGATAGGGGCAAAAGATCTGTAACCTACAAGGGAGAAACATTAGATGGGCAGCAGACCTGTCCACAGAGACCCAGCAGGCCAAAAAGGACTCGCATGATATATTCAGGGAGCTAAAAGAGAAAAATACGCAGCCAAGAATACTTTATTCAGCTAGGATGTTATTCAAAATAGAAGGATAGATAAAAAAATCTTCCAGGACGAACAGAAACTTAAAGGATTTGTGACCACCAAACCAGCCCTACAAGAACTATTAAAAGGGATCCTCTAAGGAAAGAGCCCAAAATTAACATAGATCAGAAAGGAACAGAGACAAATACAGTAACAGTCACTTTACAGGTAATAGAAAGGGGAAGAGG